GACTTGAACATGAGGCCGAGTTGACTTGGGTCCGAGTTGACTTTGGGCTGAGTTGACTTGGGGCCGAGTTGACCTGCTTCCGGCCTAGCCTAGTACTAGACCTAGGCCTACATAGAGTAGTAGTACTACTACTAGGCCTAGTAGACTCCTCACCTGTTTGTGCTTGGTGGTACATGTGATATGCTGATTCGTCCCTAACCAGTTCTTCTCCACTCGTGTGATCTCCTCCCGGAATGTAAGCTTTTGTCTCAATGTTGCTGGAGTCTGCATCGTTGTCACTATCGTTAGCTTCGAGGACTTCCATTTCATCACTGCTGTCTCCATCGTGATCGCTTGACATGATTTTATAATAATGTTTTAAATGTTTGTTATAGATTTTCCACCTGCACAAAACACAACTGTCTCTCTTTCGCCGCCTCTCGCGACCACGCGTTGTTGATGTTTTTACGTTGTCTGTTATTCCTAAACAATAGCTGGCGCTCTTAATATATTTCAGTCAGAGCCATAGATAGAAAGAGTTGCGACATTGAGAAATTAGAAGCCATTTTGTGTCATACGCGATGCGCGTTCTGTGTCTAACGTGATGTGCGTTCCTGTGTATAATATTGTATAATACAGTTAGCGGCCTCCTGTATAGTTTAATTCCATTTAATCTTTTTAGCAGTCGAGTTTCATGTAACTCTATTTATAGATTTGTTTTAATGATTTCACTACTTTATATCCAATTTCATATTATAAATACTGTAATAATTTACTATTTTTGAGCAGTTCTATGATCCTCGCCGATAGACCGAGAGAGCCTTCGATGGCAAGCATTCTTCAATTAGACAATCCTTAAGCAGCTCCTGTTATTTTTGCAAATAAATGATATGTAAGACCAGCAAAAAATAATTAAATACGTATCAAAATATAATTAAAATCCGTTTATAGGGTATATGACTGTTGCTCTTTAAATTAGAATATGAGCGAGCCCTATACAAATCTTATGTTATTAATTTGATTATTATTATTTATAAATATTAAAATAGTATTATAGGTCAGTTGGCCGCAATATATAAATTGTGCTTTTCTGTAAATGTTATAAATTGTAAGTGTTAAATGACATGTATACAGGATCTATGATATATTCAACTTGTGTAATTGTGTAACGTATATTATTGTATTAAAAGTCTCGCCTCTATTTTAATATTGTATTATGGCTGTACAGTATGTTACTTTTATAAACACATTACAAGAGCGTGTCCGCTGTTTTAAAAGCGTCGTTTCTAAAATAAAGTTATAATAATTATAATAGTATGCAATAGAAACAGCAAATCAACTTTAAGATTATTAAACATCACCTTTATTTTCATTGTCATTCGTATTTATACAGGCTGTACAAAGATTTGAAATTAAGAAGAACCATTTTCTAATATTGTTTAGCGAACAACCTTTAAAGATCGTCAGAAAAGAGCAGAAAAAAAAAAATTTTTTTTCTTATTTAGCTTAAATATTTTTCCGAACGCATCTATGCGAATGAGAAAATAAAAGTAAAATTTTAATGATGAACGTAAACAGTGTAATAATGCAACTGATAAATGATTTAAATTTATATAATTAAGAAAT